CAGGAGGCAAAGGAGCGGCCGGCAGACGTTCCTGCATCGGGCCTGCAGGGGGCGCCGGAGGCACGTCGCACGAGCGCGGGGAGGAGTCGCCGTCGGGCCCTCCAGGAGAAGGTGAGGAATCCAGGGTGGGGCCGTGGAGGGGACCCTGCGGGAACAGCCTGGGGCACGCGCCACCCCGATCGGGGGTTCAGCCTCATGGAGAGACAGAGAGAGACGCTCTCCAAAGGAGAGGGGTCCCGAGAAGCGAGGGGAGCTCGGGGAGAGGGCGTGGGGAGGCGGGGCTGACCTCCCCCGCGGGGCCGCTGTGGGGCGCCCTCGCGCTGAACCCCGCCGCGCCCCCAGGACCCGGGTCCGGCCTCCCACCCGCCGCCCCACCCAGTCCCTACCTGAGGCTCCGGGCCGGCTGTCCCCGCGAGCCGTGGCGTGGCGGCCGTGCCAGTCTTGGACCGCAGGCTGCGCCCCACGCAGCAACTCTCTAGGACCCCTGCCCAGGCCACGGGGTTTCCAGCCCCGCCCCCGCCCGCGGTCGTGGCCCCTGGGGAGCGGGGTCTCCCACGCCTCCCTCTGACCCTGACCCTGACCTTGACCGTAACCCATGGAGGTGGTTCTCCAGCTTTCAACAAGGGCGTTTAGACGTATGCTAATATTTATGCGCTGTTTTTCTTTCTTTAATCAAAGTTATACGTTCACGTGGTTTAAAGAATCAAATTGTGCCCAAGTTCTTTTTTTTAAACCTCAGACTCTCCCGTTCTCCGTCAGCCCCATCTCCTCCGTGGCTTCTCGCCAGAGGCATCGCTTTGAAGTCGTTTTGTTGCTTGTCTTGGTAGCTGCCTCTGTTCTCTTTCTTAAAGGACTGTGTTGACACCATGCAATCCACACATTGGAAATGTACACTTCCGTGGCTTTTTAGTATATTCACAGCATTGTGGAACCTCCACTGCAGTCAATCCCAGAACATTTTTATCACCCCAACCACTGATGGACTTTATGGATTTGCCTATTCTAGGTATTTCATATAAATGAATACAAGGGGGCAGGGGGGGAGGGAAGTGAGGGGCTGACTTCTCCATTAGGGCACGGTGCCCAGGGCCCACAGAATGTATTATGATAATACAAGATGTGGCCTTTTGTATCTGTCATCAATTAAATAAGAAGCTTGCTGAGTTGTAGGCATTACCCATGGGCTTACACCAGGCAAGATGAGGATTTAGGGCCCCCTCTTCCTCTATACCACACACAAGTCCCATCCCTCATCCTCTCAGTAGAGTTATAATTCTCTTTGTTCTTTAATATTATTGTGACTCTGTAAACTCTACTCAGCTATTAGTAAACTAATTGTTTTTCCTTTCCTGTAGGATTTTGATAGTTTCTCATCGTCGTTTTTCTCTTTACTTTTTTTTTCTATTTTCTGTGAATTTATATCTAATTAAATCCAAACTCTGCCAGATGATTAAATCTCTTCCTATTATGTTCAGATTCAAGGTATTTTTTTTTTTTTTTTAATCAATTTCATCTTCCTGGAGCAATCTCTCCAGGAGCCTTCCTATCTGTTCAGGTCAGGGCTTTTTGTCCTCTGGCCTGGCACTGAGTGTCATCCTGGGAATCCCCCCGTCTCTCTTCCACACTCAGTAGCCAGCGCCTTCCTCATGTTTCTCTTCACTTTGGTGTATCACGTCCTCCTACATCTTTCTGGAAGAGGGAACATGGGCAGTCATTGTTTTAAAAAACTGTTTGAAAATGCCCTTATTCTACCTTCAAACATGATATAGACTTTGAGACTGGAAATAATTTTCCATCAAAATTTAGGAAGACATTGCTCCATTGCCTCTAGTTTGCTGTGTGGTTGTCTTTTAAAGTCATTCTCATGTAAGACCTTTTGTAAATAACCTGTTTCTCCCCCTGGGTTTTCACTTGGTCCCACATGTTCTGAAATGTCCTCAAAATGTTTTGGTATGGGCTCATTTTCATGTATTTGTGTTAGGCACAAATATCAGTAGGTCTTTTTTCTTTTTTTTTTTTTTTCATATTTATTTATTTATTTGGCTGCACTGGGCCTTAGTTGTGGCACGCAGGATCTTCGTTGCCAACGTGTAGGATCTTTGTTGCAGCATCTTTAGTTGCGGCACGCGGGATCTAGTTCCCTGACCGGGGATCCAACCGGGGTGTTGGGAGCGTGGAGTCTTAACCACCAGACCACCAGGGAAGTCCCAGTAGGTTTTTCTCTTGTGCCCCCAGGAAGAATCTTCTAGTCTCCTGCCTGCTACAGAAGCTCTGGGAGAAGGGAGTCAATTGGGAAAGACCACGGTCACAACTCCCAGCTCGGAGAGAAGGTGAGGAGAGCGGTGCAGGCTGTCTGGGGGGTGAACTGGAACTTTCTGTGAACAAAAGGGCTCTCTGGCCACTTCTGTGCCCCATTAGTGACAGGAGAGACTTCTGGAATGTATCCTTTTGTTGTCTTTTTGCTGGATGGAAAGAGAAAAGAGGAAATGTTAAGCACCCAGAGTTAATTATCACGATCGTTAACAAACAAACAAAAAATCCAAGGACATTTCAACACAGGAGAGAACAGAAAACGTGAGTCAGACAAGATCTTCTGGGGGAACAGGAGGAGGCTGGAGTGCCGTGCACCACTTTACAGGCTCTTAACCCAAGGCCAGAGTTCTGTTTTGTTTTTAATATTTATTTATTTTTGGCTGCATCCGGTCTTAGTTGCGGCACACGGGATCTTCGTTGAGGCATGCACGATCTTTCGTTGCGGCACATGGGATTCTCTCTAGTTGTGGTGTGCGGGCTCCAGAGCGCGTGGGCCCTGTAGTTGAGGCGTGCAGGCTCTCTAGTTGTGGCGCACGGGCTTAGTTGCTCCACAGCATGTGGGACCTTAGTTCCCCGACCAGGGATCGAACCCGCGTCCCCTGCATTGGAAGGCGGATTCTTAACCACTGGACCACCAGGGAAGTCCCGAGAGTTTTTAAAAATAAATCTTTTCCCCCTCGTCTGCTTGGCTGAGCCGTTGTGGGGTGGGGAAAAAATGGATTGGAGGAGGGCAAGTCTGGGCATGGCTTCTGGGAAGAGGGGCGACACTGACCACAAGCAAGTGTTTAGGGGAAGCAGAACTGTATTAGTGAAAAGTGATAGCCACGCCTGTAGCCGGGTCTCAGCGACGGAGTGTCTTTTGCCCAGATGCTGACTCACCTCTTCTCCCCCAGGGAAGCCAGGTGAACGCTCTCAAGGAAGCTAAGACCCCTGAGCCGCCCCCCCGCCCCCCACGCTGACCTCCCTGAAGACGCAGAGAGGTGTTCTGTGCAGAGAGAGAGGCAAATGCCTCTGCTGAGGTGAGGGAACCCAAGCCCGGGGCGTTTAGCCAATCCATACACGACAGGACAGAGCCCAGGCCAGCCCTCCAGGACTCCTCAGAGCCCAGGGGAGTCCTCTCCTTTTTCATGCCATGACCGTAGCCAGTAGGAACAGGCTCCAAACAATAATTTGCAGCAGCAGAGAAACAGGTCTCAGTTCTGGTGGTGGGGAAGAAAGAAACACTTACTACCTTGCTGTTTTTGTGCAGATAGAGGGTTTGGACAGAGCCTCTCAGGCTGGGGTCGAGCAAGATGAATAAAAAAAGAGCGACATGGCATCTGTGCAAACACTATAGGGAAAAAAGACAGTGAAAGAATCCGTTCAGGTAGAAAAGTTAGGTCAATGAAAACACACCAGGACTTCCCTGGTGGCGCAGTGGTTAGGGATCCGCCTGCCAATGCAGGGGATACGGGTTTGAGCCCTGGTCCGGGAAGATCCCACATGCCGTGGAGCAACTAAGCCCATGAGCCATGGCCACTGAGCCTGCGCTCTAGAGCCCGCGAGCCACAGCTACTGAACCTTGCACACCTAGAGCCCCTGTTCCGCAACAAGAGAAGCCACGGCAATGAGACACCTGTGCACCCCAACGAAGAGTAGCCCCCCTCGCTGCAACTAGGGAAAGCCCGCGCACAGCGGTGAAGACCCAATGCAGCCAAATATAAACAAAATAATTTAAAAAAAAAGAAAAGCACACAGTATCTTAATTATTTTGCATCAAAGCAAAATCATCTCAATAAAGCAGGACCTCAAAGATGAGAAGATGAAACAACAGAATTAAGTGAAAAGGGAGATTGCAAAGCTGAGGAAACAAATTCAGAATGACAATTTCTGAACTAATAAATCAGAAAAGCAATAGAACGATAATTGCAGTTGAGGGTTGAAATCACAGACATCAAGGAAAGACCTGCTCTGATCTCAGAGAATGCAAAGGGAAAAAGGAGAGATTAGAGCAATTAGACAAGATACAATGTATTTAGGGGACCCAAAGGACATTTGGTGACTGAAACAGAGAATTCAACAAACAGAATGTATAACGTGTTTAATGATATTGAGTGAATCTTCCTTAAATGACGAAGAACCTAATCCACAGCTCAGAAGGCACAGTCAGGAAAACTCAGAGGATGACTGATGGACACACAGATATAATTGTGTGTGTGGGGGGGTAATTTTTATTTTGAAACAATTCCAGACATACAAAAACATTTCAAGAATAAAAAAGAACTCCTGTTTTAAATATTTCACCACATTTCCTTGATCACATATTTATCCATCCATCAATTCACCTTATTTTCTGATACATTTCAAAGTAAGTTACAGACATCAGTACACTTTACCCAATACAATTCAGAGTGCATATTAACAAGAGTTCAATATTTGTGTACATTGCTTTGAAGTAAAATTAACACGCAGTAAAGTGCTCACATCTTTAGATGCTATTTGTTGAGTTTTGACAAATACATAAACCTTTTACAAGGCACAGAGTATCTCTGTCACCCCAGAACGTTCCCTCGAGTCTTTGTTGGTCCCTGTGCACCCAAACTGGAGAGGCAGAGAAGCATGGCCCCAGGCTCCCTGAGCACCAAGGATGCTCACAGCACAGGCGGGGGTGTGGCCAGGCCTCTCTGGACTGAGCGCCCGGGGAGGGCTCAGGCCTCGGCCAGCTGCTGCAGCACTGAGAGGGACCCGTACAGGGCGAACAAGGGCTTCTTGGCCTCCAGGTCTCAGGTCCCCTTGGGGCTGTCGGGAGCCACCCTCAGGCTGCACTCCTCCAGCAGGCTGAAGGTGACAGCCAACCCCTCTACCTGCCGCGGGGTGAGGAGCTTGGGGTCCAGGGTGAAGGGGATGTTCCAAGGGTGCTTGAAATTGGGCTCCAGGATGCTCTTCACCTGGAAGAAATGAGGTCAGGTGTTGCAGGTCAGCCTTTGAGATCGGGAGACAAAACCTTCTGTCCCGAGAGCCAGGGGCCTCACCGGGTCATGGAAGAGGCAAAGTCATGGAGTCAAGGGGACCAGGAGTCTCGTCCTGTCCTGTCCTGTGATCGGTGTGATCTTGGATATGTCATTGGAAATTGTTGTGCTTTGGTTCTTCAGCTGCTAAATGGTGATCCTAACATTGACCTTGCAGAATAGTGGTATCTGGAATTACATGTGTATGTGTGCGTGTGTGCAATGTGTGTGTATGTGCATACGTCCGTGCACACATATGTACTCATGTATACATGTATGTGGAGAGAGAGAGAGCAATTTGCAAACGGTAACTGTGTGAGAAAAGCAGAGGTGTTTCAGATCCCCTGAGCCCCCCAAGCTTGTATTCCTCTTTTAGAACTGTGGGCGTCCTCTGCTGGGGTTGCCATGGAGACGGAGACCCCCCTGAGGTAGACTCACACCCACCGGGCTTGCTCCCCAGAGGGAGAGGCAGCCAGAGAATTCCCCGTGGCCACATGGGATCCTTTCTCCCCTCTCAGCAGAATCTTATGTCACCTCTCTTTCCTCAGGATCATTCTTATCCCTGGCTCCCTCACCCCCATCCCGGGAGGCTGGCCCCTGGGGACTGATTTCTTACCAGCGCCCGCTTCTGGAGCAGGATCCTCTTTTCCATGGACCAGGCCAGTAGCTCATGTTGGGTGTCACTCAGCACTGGGAACGAGGGGACATTTGGGGAGAGAGAGTGATGAGTGGTCAGATTTTTCTTCCCTGCTGTGAACTAGGGGACCCCATGAGGGGTGACCCGAAGGCAGAGGAATAAAACCCGTTCGACTTGAAAGGCAAGTTCCCTCCTTCTGCTCTTGGGATGGTCTCCAGGATGCTACATAACATGGTCCAGCGGGGGGGATTCTAGGCTGGAGCCTGGAATCATCCACGCCCAATGATAGGTTGGGTGAACTTGGGCTGGTCTTTCTAGATCCCGGGCTGGTTCTGTATCATATGGTGAATTTATCTCGCTGACCCCTCCTGACCTTGGAGAGGGGCGTGATGTGAGATGAAGACCATGGTATTAGATGGGTTTTAGAGAGGTGGGTGGCATCTAACCCCGTCCTTTTTGGGTCTAGAGGCCAAATTTGTGACGTTCCCATATTTCCCTCAAATCACTCTTACCCAGTATGGCTTTAAGGAGGGAAATGATGTGCAGTCTTAACTTGAGCCGTAGATTTCTTGAGTCCTCTTGCATCTCACTTAGGAAGGTGCCACCAAAGCTGTCCAGATGATCCAAGGGGCTCCGATCCAACTACAGGAAACCGGTATTATTAGTAATACAACAACAACAATAATAGTAATAGCAATAGTGATGTTGTTTTGCAGTTTTGCCAGTATCTTTTGAGTCTACAAGTGATTGACCAAGGTGGGAGGGGGCAGGATCTTCACCTACCCCCAGATTCCAAGCAGCTTCAGCATGTGGGCTGCATGCCCTGGACCTGGTCATTGTGCCTGGACCAGCGTTTGGGACCCCCTTCTTCAGCCCTCCTTCCGCATGTATCTTGGCAGTCTATCTCCTAAACCTGCCCCTTCACAACTTTGATCAGCCTTAGGTAGAGTGGGACCCCCCCCGCACCAAGTCCATGAGGTCCTGCAGAGCCTCTCAGTCCTTGAGCCTGGCCAGGATATTATGGAGAATAGCATCCTGAATGTCCTTTGGGAGCTGGGCCATTGCCTCCATTTCCCTGGAAACCTCCTTTCGTAGGTGCTTGAAATCTGTCCTCAGGCATCAACATCAACCAGAAAATGGGGACAGTTCTCTGATTAGAACCTCCGTGGTATGATAAGCCAGGCACCTCCATGTCATTTATCTACCAACCAAAAGCATCTCTGCAGACGGCATGTTTGAGCTCTGGGGATGGAGCTATCATAACAGGCTAAAAAGATGGGCAATCCTCATGCTGTGAAGGGACCCGGGGTGGGGTAGAAGGCAGGGAGGAGAGAAGGAGATTCTGGAAAGAGGTCGTGGGAAGTGGAAGAAAATGACCAAGTGCTCTTTTCTGGGACACGTCTAGAATAACGTGGATTCTAGCGTTGGGCTCTAGAGATGAGAATCTTAGGTGCTCTGGGCTCAGTTTCCACATATGCTTAGTGGGAAGCTTATGAGGATTAAATGAGTTCATGTATGTAAAATGCTTGCGGGAGTACCTGGCACACAGGAACTACCCTCCTTATCATGTAATTCTGCCTGTATCATCTATGACCACACACAATTAAGCAAGGAATGGAGTTGGGGTTTCTCTGCTTCTCCTAGGAGACTTCAGGTGGCCTCCAGCTGATCTGCCGAGAGGGAGCGGTCCAGTGAGGCAGACATTTCTGTTTGGTCCACGGCCGTATCCCCGCTGCTCAGAGTAGTGCCTGTTGCCTAATAAGTCCTCAATAAGTGTTTGTTGCGTGCATGCACGAATGAATGAATGAACGAATGGGGCTGAACAAAGCGTCGATTTGTAAGTTGCACGCAAGCCACCTTCTGGGTAGTTGGCTTTGCAGTTTCCCACCCAGGAAGTCCCAGCTTCCCTCTTAATAAACACTGACCTTGGCCAGTGCGTTCCCGTATTCTTCCTGGAAAGAGAGTCACAAGTGATCATCTCCCTTTCTCATCCCCCAACTTTACTTCTGAGACATTTTGGAGAGTCCTGCCCTCTTAACGCCTTCTCCCTTTTGCTTAACCTCTTCCTGCCCCCATCTCCGTCTGTCCCCCCCCC